AAACGAACAAACCAGATTAAATAAATAATGTATCTTTCTACGCGTTACTTCGTGTGCACGATCATAATCACCTGAATTAATAAAGCAATGAATTTCTGCACTAACTTGTTTTCATTCGTCAACCTTGTAAGAGTTTAATTGGTTTATATCGTCGTGAAGGCCTTATCTCTCACGACTCGTGTGAAGATATATTAATCCATCAGGCTGTGGCCACCTGAATTATTGAGTAAACTTGTCCTACAAGGTATTACTTAACATGGAAGAAGAGACCAGAAAGTACATATACAAGTATACTCATTGAAGTATACAAGTATACCCATGGTCTATACAAGGTCCCTGAAGGGTTACTAGAATTTGAAACAAGAACCAACACCAGGGGCCACGGCTATAAGCTAAAAAAATTGCGCTGCAACTTCTCCACGCGACAAAATTTTTTCTCGCTTCGAATCACCGACATGTGGAACAGCCTCCCCGATGACATCGTTGGTGCTCCAAGTATGAACGCGTTCAAGAACAGACTAGATAAAGCTATGGAAAAATATATGTTCAGATTTGAAATGCCAAGCACCATATCGAACCCGTGGGAAGTCTAGTAGCTATTTCAAACTATCGTCAGTCCTGGAAAGATCCGGTCAAATGACACGATTTTAGATCTTCGGTGAATAGGGCACAAAAAGTAAAAGAATAGGCGACAGACCACATCAGGCCTATGTACACTTCAGCTCCGACATCACTATGTTATGTTATGTTAATAAACGTAGTTGCTACTAAATCAAATCGAAATCGACTTTGATTCAATGTCATTTGGCTGGAGAGTTAGTGCAACACTTGAAAATCGTTAAATATTCAATAACATGAGAAAGAGAAGGAAAAAGTCGATGTTGCACGACTAATGATTTTGTACGGTGTACAGCTGGACAGTGCACAGTGTAATACTGTACACCCTATGCGTCACTAGTATATGAACAACATCAAGGGCAGTAATCCCTTAAACGTATTCGGGCTGGAAGTTAAGTAACGTAGGCATAGATGTTCTTATATTTAGAGATGTTTAATTGAATGAGATATGCAAGATAATCGGAGACATTCCTCAACATGATTCAGACTAGAGAGCAATTCTGGTTTAACTTTACGTTTAAGCTTCCATGCAAAAAATATATAGAGAAAATACGTATGCAACTCAAAAATATGTAGAGAATTACACAATTGTAGGACCAATGGTAGTTGATTATATATAATTTCAATTAACGAAACGATCTAAATAATTAACGAAATTCAATTAACAAAAACATCTAAATTAATTAAACGGAATTTTTAATTAACTGTAATACAAGAAACATAAATTGGAATGACATTCATTAACACGAAATTGTGATGACTCAAATGGTAAGGGAAGTGCACTGCAACGGACCGGCAACGCTTCAAAACGCGCACTTGTTCCTAAATGTCGGTACAAAAATTTATCTTTCCCTATAAAATAGAGATTCTGGAAATAAATTTGGATTTTTTTAATTGCCTGCTCATTTTTATAGGCTCTTACACTAAAGCAGGAAAATTTATCTCTCTCTGTAATACAGTAATACAGACTAATATGTGCATAAATTTCCATTATATTTCCATTATTTGAGGTCGGCTAATTCGAACTTCAATCCGATTTTATGACTAAAAGGTGCCTGAAGAATATTTTATTTTAAATTAGGAACTTCTATTCAATCCAATTAGATGTACCTGGTTTCTAAGTCAGATCAGCAGTCAAAGTTCACTAGCAGACGATGACTGGAATTGTAAAAGCTTCTTTTTTAAAATGAATGCGCTGTTTAAATGTATATTCATTTAAATTTCAAGTACTGCTTTATACTGCACAGAACAATTTCTGAGAAGGAGTTGTGAATACAAAATTGACTGAACAGATTTGAGAAAGAAAGTGTTAGATATTAAAATATGATGAGCTTAGAGTGTACAGATTTTGTTTCGTTAAGGTTAGAGCTTTTCTAAAATCACAGTCACCAGTTGCACTGAGGCTGCGGTGCCAAATACTGGGATAATTTCAATGTGGGGAATAAGTTCTCATAGTTTGTCATTACAATGGGTCGGTCACAACGGACATTTTTGATCTTTCAGGTTATTGTTATGAATCGGCGTCAGATAATTGTTTCCACTATCGGAAACATATTCTCTATAATAAGGTTAGACAATTATTCCTTACATGTTATGTTTGTTAAGAGCCTTTATTTTTTACTACGTAGAGAACGTTCGGTGAGTAGCATGAGCAAACTGAGCATTAATTCTTCCTGATTCCAAAGCAGTTATGGTAGGATCATTTGATACAGTGGAAGTTCCACTAGACTCACTGGCGTTTACAGACTCAAAACATCTGTATTTCGCCAGAGCCATGCTCATATCTCCGTCAATTCAGAAACGAAATAAAATTAAAAACAAAGCTCTTAAATATTAATGTGCTGCTGCCCCCTCGATAGATATTCGCTAGTCAGGTTCGTTGTTGATTATAACGGGAAAACGTACGTACGTCTTCACAACGAAAACGTACGGATGCTAATAAATGTCATTCCTGAACCAATCTGAATAAAGTTAGTTTTCTGATGTAAATTGTATATTTTGAAATACTGAGAGGAGGGCAGTTATCAAATATCCTTATATTTGAGGGAAACTTTTGATCATAGAAAAACTTGCCGTAAAATAATTTTCACTTAATAATCTAACTTAGCTTTAGTAAAATTTAATTTGCATTCAATAAACAAAACACCTTTCTGACATAGCCATGTGCGTGTTCTCTTTCCGAACTTCTAAATAATCTATTAAGAAAGAGGAGCGCCTGCGGGAGAATTGAAGATAAAACTTGCAAGACACATCTCGGGAGCTTCTCTGGATACTACAGTGCTCCCGCGGGGGTCATTCGGGCATTTGACAGAACCAAACTTCATGGATCCCACCCTACCGGTTTGATTTAGCCTCGTCTGTGGAGCACTGATGGAGACCTAAAGCTCACTACGCCAGCCGCCCTGAGGACCGTCGACTTCCACCCACTCCATGTGCGCGGTGTGACCCATTCTAAGCCAGGCCGATCCTCAATCCATACACCGTAAGTCCGGAGGAAAGTACGTGCATTTCTGTGTCGGAAGGTGTTTTGTGAAGATCCTAAGCCGCTTCACGGCCTGTTCTTATAATAAAGACGATGTGCCTTATTTAGTTACATTAAAGCAAATAATAATTGATAGCGTACTAATAATTGAATTAACTGATAGCAACAATTTTAATTGATTGAATTGATAAATGGATTGAAAATGGGGGTTCTAGTCATACTGGCGCTAGAAACTCTTCCCTATGTTATATGACTGTAATTGATTAATTTTTCCCAATTGCTATTCCATACACCAGCGACGTGATGACGTGACTCTGACGTCATCCATCATCAGGCACTTCGTTGAACGAATTTGGCGGGATTGGCGCGTTTACTCTTTCATCTCAAGATCCAAATGAACAAAATAGAAACATGGCCGAACATCATTCAATAAACTGATTTTCTTTGTCTCGAATTTTATGTCCCGCCATAAGTTTTTCGTTAGCAGTTTCACAAAGTCATTGTTTAATACCTGCATCAGCTATACTTTAAAATTTAAAATGCTATCGTAAAGAAAGTATAAGGTTGCCACTATTCTTCTTAACAATTGATAATGGTGGTTTTATTTTCTCAGGCTTGGTGCTTGGATATTGGCTAAAAATTAATCGTCCATTTGAGTCGAAGTTAAGCATCAATTAAGATAGCCTTCAAAGCTCGAGCTGCGCGTCTCTTAACGATAATGACTGGTCTTAGATGGTATGCGCAGTTTGTTTATTATTTTTAAATTAAAGGGAATTATGTTTTTATGCCAATTGCATTCATTAATTCAGGTTTCTCTACTAATTTTTCAATTTGAAGTCGAGATTGAGATTCAACTTGCTGCATGTATGTTTTTCATGACATTAACTTTGATGTAATAAACGCTTTCGAGGATTGAATAGAACATGGTCCCAAAACAAAACTAATTTTGCTGCAAAACGCTGCAAAAATTATTTTCCATGTGAGCAGCGTTTGACGTCCCATCTCGGAAACTAAAGCTCACTGCAGCTCTATAACTCGAAGTCTTGACGAAGATCATCGGAAGCCCGACAATTCGTTTTATTGACGATGCACATGAGACGAGTTCACCAAAATGTCCTGTTATCCATCGTATCATAAATTAATGATTTATAATACTCCTGTCGTTATATATGTAGTAAAAAAACGGACCATTTTCTTCGTAGAGGAACGTGCTGTGGGGATGAAGTGCTATAGAGTTTTTTATGGAAATACACGAAGGAAATTTACGACGTAAAATATGATTCACGAATTAAGTTCGTATCTGTACTGAGTATTTTCTGGAGTTTAGAGGTTCGAACAGCGACTTGTTTAGACCGGAGGCGCACGCTATGACCTGATGTAATCAAAATCTCTAGGTAATTAAGTGTAGAAATGCAGCCTTGTGGTGCTTGATTACTGAAAGTAACTTTTTGCACAGACGTCTGTTTGGCATGCGTAAAATTTTAGGCGTGTTTGCTGGAAAAATATGCGGATGAGTACGTTCATTCAAATATTTTATTCATAATGTTATACGCGCATTATTTCGACAAGTAAGTTCTCGCCCACATAATTAATATATAAGCAGTTGAACATTTAACAGGCGCCTTACTTGCGCACCAGAACTTAACGACCGCATTACAGCTTCTGCCAAACGGCACTGACCCGCTGCCAGCATGCAGCCAACCAGTATAGAGAACATAGCATATGGGCATCGCGCCAAATAATTATGATATTGCAATGAAAAAGATTATCTTTCAACAAGGAAGATATTAATGAGGAAATATCCAGTGACGAATGGTATCAACATTGTCACCTTACAAAAATAAACTTAATACAACCGATTAGTTTAATCTTCAACTGAAAAAATTAAAGCCGTACTAGACTCAAAAAAATTTCGGAATGGGCAACCATTATCTAGGTTTCCAGAGGAGTTACACAGTTGGGACAAAAATCATTGAATCTTTCTTAGTTCTTTTCAATCTCTTGTGGATTTTACTATTGTGAAAAGATTCCCCAACAGCATGTGTCACAAATAGCACCATATTTCACAGACCGCCTTTGTTATTTATTATCAATACTATTTTTATGAAGCTTTAGGACAAAATCCTCACTGTTTTGCAGGATACTTTTTTAAATCCACCTGCTTATCTATAAAGGCCTCAATTGGAAGGTGGTGCATGGAAGGATTGGGCGGTTAAGCCAACATAACTCCAAAACAAAATATCATGCCGTATAGTGTTGAGAATTTCTGAAGTAGAAGTTGCGTGACGTTATTCCCATGTACACTGATGCGCACTACGCACAACATTATTTGTAAACCAGAAAAAGATTTTGACAGAACCAGGCTGCCTCGAGCGAGGAATAACCTTATACATGTAGGAGGGCATAATTTTGAAATTATTGGTCAGCAGCGGATTCGATTTGGTCCAAATTAAAATAGACTGAATAATAAGCAAATAGGCCAAAGAGCACCAAATAATTTTCCTACTATTAACTTCGGTAACTGTTCCAGGTTATTGTTCAGGTAAGAACATTCTAATTAGAGTAAACACATGATTCGACGAAAACTCTTACAGAGAAAATATATGACCAGTGAATTCAAATCCTGGTTGAGTAGCTTGCAAATGAGAATACAATCTAAAGCAGCGATGGATGAAACGTTGGATACCATTTTATTGAGACGAAATCAAAAACAGCTAAAGGAGCTCGCACAGAAAATGGTAAATATATGCGATTGCGATGCACGGATTCTGAATGCAACCATTATAGACTTTAATTGTTACTATGCAATCGAGAAACTATTGAAGATTGTTGGTTGAAGTTACATAATTAATTTTATTGATGCTTGTTCCAAGATGATCGAAGAAAAGGTCACTTAAGGTGTCTTTCTTAGATAAAAGGATGCTAATGACAAGAAAGATGTCAACAAAATATCTATGATAAAATATGGTCGCAAAATTAAGGAGACTATTAGAAAGCCGGCACGACACCTCGTAAAAGTATATGAAAATATTCGAGAATGTCGGACCAAAAGGAAGACCCAGACCCAAAACCCTAAATTTACTGTTTATGTTTTCGTGCGAACACGAAGAATGAGTTCTTAACTACCAATTCCAAAAGCTCTTTGAAAAATCAGCGAATACGACTTATGGTAAGGCCATTAACATTGGTAAACAAATGTTGAGGCAAATTTCAATGTTTTCTGTGAGAGAAATATGGTCATACGGTACAAAATATAGTATGAAACAATAACATATACTATATGCTATAAGCACTAAAAAACATGAAAGTGAGCAATGAAATTAATGAGGTATTAATTAATTAGCTGGCAATGCCCAGGTCAACTTGTATGTACTCACTCAATAGGCACGTAAACGTTGATAAAACGTCGATTACGAATTGATTTCAGGTTGTAATATTGATCAACATTAAATAATCATACATTCAATGTGAAAAAGTGACCAACATAGTGCAGAACGTAAGGCAACCAGACTTATACATTGAAACATACATCGAAACAACGCCCTGAACGAGTAGAATTGAATCATCGTTACCATTTGATGAACATTAATTTTCGACAAAGTTTTAGCTATGATTCTTGATATGTAGTTCCAAATGTTACTCTTTCATTTTGGGTTATACAATCACGAACTATAATGCAATGTTTTTCTCAGATCATTTGCTCCATAAAGCGAATTGTCAAGAGTGCCTAGAAAAAGGCAACATCGCAGTTCCATTACATTGCCTATACTAATGCTTTTCTACTGTAAAATGCCACATATGTTATTTACCCTAAAGAACCGTGAAGATTGAAGAGACCGTGAAACTTGCACGATTCAGTAAAATCTGTCAGCCATTATTTTATTAATATTCATAAAAGAAAAATTGTGCGTCAGGGCATGAAAGGTCTGCCGTTTTATATACATTTTTTGACCAAATGTTCGTAAATATTTCATGACGCTGTTCATGTCAGAGTAATAACTCTGCTGTCGGGAGTAAGAACTCCTATAAATTCCGGGTCTGGATAACATTTCATTCTTTGGTTAAATGATTTGAGTTGGGTTAAGTTGCAAAATTGGTCATTCAACTTACACCCGCATCCACGTGTGTACGCTGTAGCTGTATTTGAATACGAAAGCTATGAATTTTATCGAACTCATAAAATCAAAGGCAACAAAAACTCGACCTCTGTAGGGAACTTTTATTTGACACGTATGAGAAACAAGCTTTGTAATAAATTTGGAATGATGCATGCGACGGTAGCTATATAAAAATTGGTCGGCTTTTAGGTATTTCATGGGCTAGAACCGAGGCGCTAGTTCAGTATTAGTTGGCACCATGCGCTCTCTGGTAGTACTATTCCTGGTAATCTCGCTCTCAGGTCTCGTTCTGGGGGAGAAAGAACACAGTCTACGTTATGAATTATCAAGTAAGCAATTAAACGAGAAATAAAACATCCGGTATCGTCTAATGTGCGCGTGTAAATTACTGCACAATTTAAAACTATTCTCTTTCTTCGTCATTCCAGATTCTCGAGAAACGTTGCTGGACAGAGATGAGTACCTTTACGTCCGACAAGGAATACAGATGTAAGTGCAAATGTTTCAAACGTAGTGACAGTAAGTTTGAAGTTAGCTTAGTATTTCTTCGCATGGAGATCACAGTCTCTTTTAGAAATGGGTCCTTAGTTAAGGTGAAGATCCAATTAGGAGGAATACAAATTAAAAATTGTTCCGAACCGAATCAAAGTGCTCACTGATGCTCGAAATCAAACTACATCGCAACTCAACAAATTTACAACTTTGGCAAGCCATCGTTTTTGTTTGGAATTGCTAGTTTTGCCGGTGTTCAGACTACAAATTATTCCTTGTAATACTATTAATGCCAATATAAATGCTTAAAACTATTTGATCTACAATTCTTCATGCTGTGGCTTTTAAATGTCTAAGCAAAAATGTCTTTATTGTTAAGTGATTGACAAACGTCGGACGCAGTTGACAAACGATGAGATGGCCAAACTAACTTTTAATATATATGTGTCTGAACTATTGAGATAGAAGAAAAGCTTTTCATTTCATGGTCCAGAATAGCTGGGGCTAACTTTATTTGGTCAGTATTAAAAGAATTATCATTGCACGAGTTGTTATACTAATAANTTCGCAGATTCAAAAGTAGACGAGATTTCATTCCATTCCAGATTCCATGATCAAAATCTCTGTTAATTAGAAAAAAATTTAATTCTCGCAGAACAAAGCAACGAACGCATCCACCTCTTTTTATTACTATAATTATATTATATTATATAATATAGTTTGATATGCATAATATTGTAACAATAATATTGTAAATATTATAATCTGAGTATAAAGAATATGGCTCTTTGTTCGGGGGATTGTTCGGAATAAAAACTCGTTGTTGATTGTAACGGT